TTCAATCTTTAATGTAAAGAGATTTTATTCCAAGCTATTTTGGAGCATTTCTGTTGGTCCGTTCATCATGAAATCTGTTTCTGTATCTTTGTGATAATCCAGCGCAGAAATACAGTTCAGACATTTCCTGAATCTGTAGAGTCGCCCTTTCCATTCCATCTTATCACGAGATTATACGTGACTCACATCCGAAGTTATGAGGCTATGAAGAGGGGCTGAGATATACGTCATCTGCCTCTCACCGTGTGGAACTGGTGGATTCGTGACCAATGGACACCCAAGAAACCAGTGAGGACTGACCCATCACAACGGAAACCCTTCATTCTTCATTCAGTCCACATCTGAGACACATGTGAAATGGCCTGCAGAGAGTTTACAGCTGCTAAAGTTGCTGCAGCACTTTTGGAAAGTAGTGATAAAGATAACAGAGGATTTGATACATATGAGTATCATGTTATATGAAGAGCCTTTAAAAGAGAATTTGAGAAGATATGCACAAATTGAATGATCTCAGACCACAGAGGGTTAACTGTAATTTGCTCCAATGAAAAAGTCAAAAGTCAACTTGAAAAAACTCATAAAAATGCTGAATCTTGTCTCTTATACTCTGAATTGATGAGAAAGAGAGGATATTCACTTTTCTCCATTCAAATGCAAAAGGCCGCCTGCCGAACTGGCCACACGCTGACGTCAGACGCTCCTCTACAAACCAATCAGTGTCCAGTACAGGAACTGCAACGTGGAACCAAAACTAACCGAAACAGATGTGCACTATGTAACCAAAACATGAACCTCAGTTTGGACTTCCAGGTGTGAAAATGCCCTCATATGTCATGAATCAAAACAAAAAATTTAAGCACTCAAGACAACAGACAATAAAATATCAAGCAAGGCATTAAAAGAAATGTAAGAGTGAAGCTGTAACTAAAAGATCTAAAGATAAAAAACAGCAATTAAAATAAGGCATTAAAAGAAATTAAAATAGCAGTTGCAGTTAACCAACCCTGAAACTCCAGGGGTGCCGGCGCCCCCTCAGGGAAACAATCTGTTTCTCTGTGTATATGACAATAAACTCTTATATCTTAAATCTTCAATCTCGAAGCATCATCTCAGCAACTCATGGCGAGGGCTTCAAAAGCGGCCCTGCGGCTACACTTAGCTCCAACAAGCATACATCATTTTCTCATATCTGTTGAGAAATCTGAACAAATTTACTTTCCTATGCATCATGTTCACACGGCTGGGCTAACGCTTCCTCTACTGCGGCTTCTTCCACTGCACACTGCAAATTAAAGCACCGTATAATTACGGTCATATATATATATATATATATATATATATATATATATATATATATGACTGTATTTCCTGCTCGATTCCTTAATTTCTATAACTGAGCACCAGATGTACAACATGTGACGCTGCACATGACACTTCACCTCTAATTATTTTCTGACTATTACAGTGAGAGCATATTGAGAGTTACAGCAGTGCTTTATTTTGTCTTCTATTCTAAGCAGATGACACGGTTTTCCAAGCCACACTGCCAATAAAGGACTCTCTTACTCTCACTTAAAGACAAAAACCTTTTTTTTAATGGTTAACTCCTTTTGGACGGTGGCTCATTATTATACATTTTACCATTTTTTAGCGCTGAGTATGGCAGCATATTCAGATTTTTTTTCAAACGCAAACTGCATTTTCCACTCGCATTTCCACTGTGAGTGCATTATTTAGGACATAATTTAAATTCAAATGCAAAATGTGTATTTGTGTTTGCATCTCTGTGTATAATGGCTAATAAACTTAATGTGGAAAAGCAAAGAGCTTCTGACGATTCATTTCCATTGTCTTAATGTTCTGACTGACATATTAAAAACAGAAAACTGCATTTTCTCACTGTGGCGTTCCAGCTCTGCCTAAATTAAAATGTATATACAATCCTGGGCCTGTATTACAAAAACATCTTAACTCTGAAATCTGATGTGTTTAGTCTCCATGATGACTTTAGGACAGACTGAATTTAGGACAGTAGCTATGACAGAATAACAGTTCCTAACTTTATAATCTTATCATTAACTCCAGATAAGAAACAGTATTACACAAACACTCTAACTAGACTAAATCTCCTAAATACTGTCCTAACTTCAGGATAAACCCCAACAGTGTCCTAACTCCTGTTTAAGTGTCCATTTCTATCGTTTTTAGGCAGCTGTGTCAGCAGCATAGTCCACTACTAGCATAATGACGCTACATTTATTTACACTGTAAAAAGCTGCTTTCACTTGAGATGTTTTCCTTTTCTAACTCTGCATTTTAAAAATCTCAGACACTGCAGACACAATCTCCACCGTCCCCTCTTATTACCTTCATGTGTTAATGTTGGTAAAATACTACAGAGATGGTGGTGAATAATGAGGAGACAGAGCTGAACGTGAGTCTGTTTATGAAGAGGAATAACATTAGCGCGCTCAGCTAAAGCGTTTGGGAAAAGGAGGCTGAAACTGGGGAGCGGCAATGCTCTGATAAACAGCAGGGGGCGCACTCACTGTATTCATAACTTAGTTTATCACACTTTAGTTTAGTTATCAAATTTTTACATCAGTAACAGTAGCTGCCTGTCTAACTAACACCACTATTTTGATTACATGTTTATGTTTCAGCTGTGTGAGTATGGTTGGTTGCTAGGAAACAGACATGACAGCTGATTGTCAACTTCGATCGAGTAGGTTAAGACTTCCTAACTGGAGATAAGATGTTGTAAGATAAAATTCCTAAATTAGGATCAGATTTGCTTCTATGAAAAACCTTATGTCAGCGAGGCTTCCTGTCAATCAAACACGGGGGGCAGAACATCTGGAGGGGCTTTTTTAGTGCATGTTTTAAGAGGAAGTGACGAGTCTAAATTTTGGCGGTTCTGGCAAAAAGCTAGATGCTTGTTTTCAATACAAAGCTAGCAACAGCAACCGCTGCTAGTGACAACGGAACAGTGATTTCAGTGTTTGAATATTACCTTAAATGGTTAACTGAGCACTTGACCTCTACCTATTAATATACTAAAACATGCTAATGAGTGTGACACTGACAGGTTTAGAGAATAAGTACTCAAATGGATCTTCATTCACATGTTTACTTTTGTATTCTACACCAGAATTCCAGAGTCAGATCACCTAATGGAAAACATTAATGCAATCATTCAAAATGACAAAACATCACTCCACACAGTTTTTAGTTTTACATTTTTGAAGTTTGCCCTGACATGTTCTAAATTACATCTTAAGTATGTACTGAACTGAACTAAACTGAGTATAAACACTAAGAATAATATTCCACTTTAAATCTGCGAGTTTCATGTTATAAATTCCCACAGCATGATAACAGGTTCATTTATTGAAGAGTGCACTGTTTATGTCAGGGCTTGATAACTTTCATCTTTCAGTTTTCAAAATAACTTTGGCAAACTTTTGGTTTTATGTAGTAAACACTCCTACATTTCTATCAACCTATGAATTATTAATTTCTGCTTGCAGTATTTGAAGAATCCTTTTCAGAGCCTTTTTTGACCTTGTGTTTTCTCAAAAGGGATTCAATATCTAGAGCATTATAAAGGTTAATCTGGAAATCTCATATTTTTTCCTTTAACAATTTTGCTATTTCTTTGTATTGTGCTTAAACAAAAAATAAACCATGGTGGATTCAGAGCATATCTGTAAATTGTATCTGCTAATGAGATACAACTGTTATTTAGGAAATAGGATGAAGGCCTGTTCTGAAAATGTAGGCCTACAAAGGGGACTTTAGTTGTGAAGCAATATATATATATATATATATATATATATATATATATATATATATATGTAGAGAGAGAGAGAGAGAGAGAGAGAAAGAGAGAGAGACAGAGGAATAGCATATACATGTTTTTTGCAACAATGAAATTTAGATTTTCATTTATCAAAATTAAAGCTGAAAGATTTGTCACAATGTGACAAGATAACATCCTTCACTAAATGTACTTGCTGTGGGAATTTATTAACATGAAACTAGATGATAAAATATGATTTAATTATTATAAGGGCTGTATTTATATCCTGATTGAACTAAAATTCTAGCTTGGTATTCTTTAACTAGTTAAATTCAATATATTAGATACTATTTAGAACCTAATGGGGCAATTTCTTTTTAAATTATAACTAAAAAAGTATTTGGAGTTTTTTGCATGGTTGTACCTGTAAATTATATCTGCTAATGAGACAAAACTGTCTTTATTTAGGAAACAGGATGAAAGTCTTTTCAGAAAATCTAGGCCTACAATGGAACTTTAGTTGTGAAGCGACATATATATATATCTCTTCAAAGCCTTGCCGCTCTCCACAGAGACATTTTAATCCAATACATCTGGTCTGATAACACGGCAAGAGTCAGAGATTAGTTTAGAGATCTGTGAGTCAGGAGGAAATAAACTCCTCCATTCTAGACTCTGTTACTTTGAGTCAGTGATTCATATAGATATGACTTGAGAGTGTTTCCTTTCAAATGACACCAAGATCATGACTGCAGACCAGAGTATGTGTGCACAGCGTCCCATTTTCTTTGTGTTAGGCAAGGCAGGTTTATTTGTACAGCACCTTTCATACACAGTGGCAATTTAAAGTGCCTTTTACAAACAGAAAAATAAAAGCGTTACATGATAATACAGCTTATAACACTCCTGAGATCCAGCACCTCAAAAAGTCTTTTGAAGGATTGTTACAAAAACATAAGAAGCACAAAAGAGGTAAGAAAAACAATAGTGATTATACTCGAGTCATTTCCAGCTCCCTGAGCGAGGAAGAGCGCCAAAACTTACCGCTTTCACTACTGAACAGCAGCCGCAACTGAATAACATCTTACTTCGAAGTAAAAGCCATCTCTAAACTGTTAATAGCCATTTCAGGCAAAAATGGGGCAAATGTTTTAAAAGGTTTAATGTTTAATTATTTAATATTTCCAAACTGTCTTACCTTGACCTTCCCCTGAGTACTGAATGTGGTCAGCTTTTCTGTGCCAATGACCAAGGCCTCTGAGCTGTGCTCTGGACAGGCTACCGGCGGTAGCTATATGGGGGAAAAAATAATTAAAATAAGTAAACAAAGATTTTCATTTATTTGCACAACAGGCACTCTGTTACAGAACAAAATATATGCTTAAATATATATAAAGACACCTGAATAGATTGTTTAGAACAATCTATTACGTAGAATAACAGCAATAAACATTATTTTTGCATAACATTAATAACAGTTACAGATTAGTTTGTTACACCAAAAGATATATTCAAATGTTTTTTATTGATTTTTCAATATTTATGCACAAACACTTCCAGGCAACTTCTAGACAAATTCTCCTGGCCCCTAAACCCCCCAACAGCAATCCTTGCATAAACATATTCTAAGACCTAGCTAAAGTCAAGAAAGAAAGGGGAGAAAAACAAAAGAGGGGAAAATAAGAAGGGGAAAAAAAAATTAAAGGATCTTTATGATATGTTTAATGAGTGAGAATGCTCAGTCTCAAAATGTGTCAAAAATGGTTGCCAGCATTTATAAAATCCTGGTTGAACCTCTGGTAATATGCTTCAAGTGTTCAAGTTTAAGATGTGCCATAACCTCTTCGATCCAGTTTTTATGGGATGGTGGCTCGGCCCTCTTCCACCTACAGAGGATCATACGCCTAGCCAGTAACGTGGAAAAGGCTATGACTTCTGACTGTTCTGAAGTTGCTTGGATATCTTCTGGAACTACCCCAAACAAAGCCGTAAGGGCATTAGGTTCGAAATGTGTGTTCCAAATATGTGAAAATGTATTAAAGATACCTAGCCAAAAATCCAGCAATTTTGGGCATGTCCGAAACATATGGCTTAAGGTGCCTGGGTCCCGCTTACACCTAAGACAAGTTGGGTCTCTATTTGGATATATTCTTGCCAATTTATTGCTGGATAGATGTAGTCTATGTAGACCTTAAATTGTAGTAGTCCATGTCTTATGCATATTGATGATGAATACACTAACTTCACAGCCAATTGCCAAGCTTCCTCTGGAATCTCCTCTCCCAATTCTTCTTCCCACTGCACCTTCATACCAGTCAAAGTGGGGGAAGCAACTCTTTGGATAATTTCATATAGTACAGATACCACCCCTCTGCCTAAAGGGTTTATGTTTAAGCATTCATCTACCCAGTTTCTCTAAAGAGTTGTCAAAGATGGTGAAAAATATTTTTTGATAAAACTGCGCACCTGAAGATATCTGAAGAAAGTAGACTGTGGGATACCAAGGTCTGATTTAAGCTGTTCAAATGAAACAAATATGTTGTTTTTAAACAGGTCTTTTATGCATCCCACACCTCTCCTGGCCCATATTTGAAATGCAGAGTCAATAAGCGATGGAGGAAACAGGGCATTTGCCATGATAGGAGAAGAGGGGAGGGCCTGTCTATTATTAAAATGCACCCTAAACTGAGACCAGATCTTCAGCGATCCACTTACCACTGGATTATTTATGAAAGGCCATCTGCTAATAGGTAATGGGGCACAGATGAGAGAAAGCAGTGATACTGGGTTACAGGAGTGCTGCTCCATCTTAGCTCATATTGGAAGTTCTCCTTCTAGTGAGTCTAGAGCCCAAAACCCCAGCTTATGAATATTAGCTGCCCAGTAATAGTACATATAATTTGGTAAGGCTAATCCCCCCTCCTCCTTCTGTCTTTCTAAGAATTCCTTCCTAATCCGAGGAAGGATCTTGTTCCAGATGAAACTGGAAGTAAATTTATTTAGCTCTTTAAAAAAAGCTTTAAGAATAAAGATTGGAATAGTTTGAAATAGGAATAGAAATCTTGGCATCACAGACATTTTTACGGCATTAATTTTTCGTGCAAGGGACAAAGGAAGGGCTGACCACCGTTCCATGTCTCGTTTAGCCTTCTCCAGTGCAAGTTTGAAATTGCTGTCAAACAGATTTTTATACGTGGCTGTTACTGAGACCCCTAAGTAGGTAAATTTATCCTTGGTTACTAAAAATGGGAAGTGATGGAATGACATCTGACGTGCTTTCTCATTGATGGGGAAGAGAAGGCTCTTACCCAAGTTTATTTTATATCCAGACACCCAAAGTTTGATATGATTTTCAGAGCAGCAGGTATAGATGTGTTTGGGTCTGATAGAAAAAGAAGGAGATCATCCGCGTATAACGATAGTTTATGCAGTTGCACACCCCTATTTATTCCAGCCAGGCTGATTACACCAAAAGATAACAACAATAATGTATTGTAAAAACATTATATAATACATCAGAAAATATCAGCCATACACACACTGACAATCTATTTTCAACCCTTTAGAAGCAACTCAACAATAAAAACTAATTTTCTATCAACAGCAAGACTGACGCAAAGTGCCTGTATGAGGCCCTCAAAGCTGCATTCAAAGTAAAAATAAGAAAACATCAGAAAGTTTTCACTCATTTATTTAGACATAGTTTACTATATTAACACCTCTGAAAACATATTCTCTTCATTTTACATGTGAAAACAAATGTATTTGCTGAATTTAACATATTTAACATAAAAACGGACTGTGCAAAAGTTTTGCACATTTTATATTTTTATGTTTTTTTTATGCTGAATGTGTTTAGTCAGTTTTCTAAGTGAAAATAAAAACTCTATGGCACTCTATTCCTACTTTAATTCTAATTTGATTAAAATGTAAAGTTTAATTCTTCTCTTTTAAAATCTACTGTTTTAATCATGTTTTAATGACTGCAGTGTATGAAAGGTGCTATATAAATAATCTTGCCTTTCAGAGAACAAGTTTTTTTTTGCAAATTTTAGTGCAAAGTGTCTGTTTATTTGGTGAGTTTATCATACTGGAAAAAACAAAACATAAACTAGCAGTGTTGCTGCTTAAGGGATTGTGGGAGCAGCAGTGGACTAAAGCAGGCAGTGAAAGAGAAAAAAAAGTTAAGAATTTCTGGAACTTCATTTGAATAATAAGCTAATTTTTCATGAAATGTTTTTCCCATGTGCCTTATCAAGATGTATCATCAATATATTCCAAATATTAGTGTTGTAGTACTTGAGTCCGGTTTTGGTCTCGAGACCAATAACAAGTGACCTCAGTCTCGACTCAGTCTTATTCTCGACCTAATTTAGACTCGGTGTTGGCCTGATCTCGGGGTAAGGCGGCCTCGGAAAGTGTTGTCAAGACCAGCCAATTCTGAAGCTTCTGTCTGAAGGGACGGGAAGGTGAAGTATTATCGAATATCAATAAAACCAGAATAAACAGAATTAGCAGAGCTTTCTCTGTGGACTAAACTCTCCGCTCTGCGCTGCTCTTCAGCTGCATCGCTGATACGCATGTGCAGACGCATTTCAATCTCTGTTTAAAAGGAATAATAACAAAGACAACTTGCTTTATTCTGTCACCTGTTGTGCTCGTATAACATGGTAAGTAATCGTTTCTTTCAGTTTTCCTATAGTCATAACTGTTAGTGAAAAAAGTTATTTATACAGTTCAGCTCCTCCCTCAGCTGTGTGAGACTAACAGGTGTTCTGACGGATTGTGCTGCCTTGTCGAAAAATGTCCTACTGTAGCACATATTTACAGGCCAAGCTCTACATAACACTGTAGGTAGGATATCTTGGTAGCTTTACCCATGTGTGGTGTTGGGGTCTGTGGGACCCATTTTCAATGTTTACTAAAAGAAAAAGTGATGCAATTTATTATTATTTCAACCTCAGATTCCTTGGCCTTTGCTCCTTTTCTATGAAGAACATATAAAAAAAACTTTAAACACCCCCTACACATTTATATTACACATGTGATGTTGGGGTGAACCCGAGGGGAGTAAAAGTGTGGAGGTGTTGTGTCTCTTCACTCTGTTCTCCTCCTACATGGCCTGCTGTTAGTTTGTGTGTGTCTGTGTGTGTGTGTGTTTGTATATGTGTGTGTGAGGGTGGACAACATGGACAGGCTGCTGACTGGCTACAGCTGCTTAAGGAGAACTGGCTACTTTTGATATTTTAAACATCTGGTATTTTTACATAAATTGTTATGGCTGAATTGATTTTAAAAAAAAAAACAATAATGCGGTGGGTCCACCAGACCAACGAGTAACAAAAACACGAACAACACACAAGGGTTAAATCACACGAAGCAAAAGACAGCTTCTTATTCGCCAGCTTTTTGTTTGAATTACCCGTTCCACCTTAAATCATGCAGCAGTTCCATTCTGGTGTCTCAGGCCACTGACGCACTCAGGCACTATTTAAGGTCTCAAACACTGCCAAGGGACGCAAGTGACGGCGGGAGGAGGACAGCAGCTGCCAGAGAGGGAATGACAACAATGACGGGCACGAGAGGCGCGAAGGCGGAATGCGAGTCCCGAACTCCGCCGTCTGGTCCCCGCCCCTGCTCCACAGCTAGGCCGCCTGGGTCGAACATCAGGTGTAGCAAAGCAGCCTCACTGTGAAACAGGAGGTGTCCCTCCGGAGTGTTCGGGCCCTGCCTTCCTGCCGGCTCTCGTGGCCGTCATCGGGGCCTTGGGGACGGGCTCATGCCATAAGTGTATTCACTATTCAGCCCTGATAGAGGAAGTGTTAATTTATTTTCACTCAGAAAATCAACTTAACATGTAGAACATTTTGCATGTGACTGTCATGCAAATTAGGACAAAATGCAACAGATGTCCACAAACACTTGCACATTCCGCCGACCGGTTCACACATCCAAATCGGATCTGACCATTACATATTCTATTCACCCGCTCCCTTAAGTCCTCCCAAAACAGAGAGAAATTACATTAGCCTGATACGATAGTCTCTTTCAGGCCAATCTCTACTTGAAGTAATTAGATTGCGGGTTGGAAGATAGCATCAGATTTCCCTATGCTTATTACATTCCCCACAAAGACAGAGCTGGTGGGAGGGAGCGGAGGGGCCAGCTGCCTCTACGAGAGAAGAAGAGTCTTTTATCCTCGGCAAAAAAAGGCACTCAGAAAGAGAGCGAGTGACGGGGAGATTGAGTGGGTGCAGAGGCTTCTGGGACAGTTTCAATCTCGTAGCGCAT